ACACTGTAGGTTTAGAGAAGGCTACCGGTAAAGATCATTGACCACTTACTAAGCACTTCGCAGTTTTGACCAGAGTAGCCGCTGACACACGAGCAGAAGTACGTAAATCCGTTGCCATTGAAGCAGGTTCCTCCATTCATGCAAGGCGTGATTGGCAGCATGCATGGATGAACTGAGTATGGAGGGAGGGAAATCAAAGCCAGAAGCCCTGCATTACCTTTGAAGCACAGGAACTTTAAACATAGAACTGTTCTGTGCGGTAGCAGGCATGCAATGGTTGTACAAACATCTGTATTTACTTTATGGAGCAGGGCAGCCAAAGAACAAAAGCAGTATTTTAATTCTGGCACAAGATGCCTCCCTTTACCAACGTTTTGCCACCCTGCATTTAAAAAGTGCATTTAAAAGTTTTGCAAAAAGTCCACCAAATTAAACAGGGACAAAAAAAGTATTAAGTCACTTATTTCACATGTAATGCAAGAGAGTTGGCAATCCCTCAGCCTCGCTGGGCATTTTCATTCTTTCGAAGGAACTCTCGGATAGTCATGGCTGAACAAGATCTGATTCTGGGCCCACCTCTTGTTTGGCAGGTTGTTCCGGTGTAGTTGGACGGGCACTGGCAGAAGGTCCTCCCCTCGGCATCCCGGAAGCATTTGCCACCATTCAGACATGGACTGGACAGACAAGGATTGGTGGCTGCATGGATGCAACAAAATCAAGAGGATGAATCGCTCTCTCTCCACTCGCTATGCATTCGTGGAACAAAACGTCCTTGCTTGTTTATAAAGTACAGTAGAACCTCCCTCATGAGGGCGCTGTTTAAACGTCTTTCTGCGTACAAGGACATTTTAAAGCCTAGTCCTTTCTTCTTCCTTGTCACTCTTGTCAACACAATCAAAAGGTTTCTGTTCTAACAGGGTAATATTCTAAGTCTGAAGGACCTCTTGTTAATGAGGTTCCACTGTATCTTTATTGTCAACCTTCCCACAGTGATGTACTCTATAGGCTGGGTAAGATCTACTGGGCTTATAGAATTAAACGACCAAATGAAAAATAGAGAAAGCCAACATTAGGAGAGGATGAAAGACCTTCCGTACACCAATGAAGGAATTTTGTTGGGTACTTAATGGGTTTTAAATTATAAATTCAAGCAGTTCAATAAAAGTGTTCCTGACTGGTTGGAAGACGTGGCAGAGTGCCTTGCCTGAGGACACAAAAAACCTCCAAACAAATTGAACCCACACCGCCTAGATCTCTCTTCATTTCTGCACAAGCATAGCTCCCCGCGATGCAAAATTTTCAGGTAACAACCGAGCCCAGTGCCAAAGTCTTAATTAGCTTAATGCTAAGATTTGGTTTTGGATTACGATGACAAACAGTTCAGAACATGTGGATTCAGTTCTTGTTATTCCCCAACTACACTATTCACATCAATGTCTTACTTGTTTCACACTGGTCCCCCTCAAAGCCATTAATGCAGGAGCAGGTGAAGTCGACGGTATCACCAACTTGTGTGCAGGTTCCACCGTTGGCACACGGGTTAGCTCGACACGGGTCAGCTGGACAAAATAAAGACCGTAAATGAAAAAAAATAGTAAACAGTAGTAACATGAACTTGTCTCATCCTTGCCCTTCAAACTATGCAGGTTCATGTACACCTTCACGCATGCAACTGCTGTCCATGCATTACGCTTGCAGCTGACACAGAGAGTAGTAGAAAACGTATATTCCAGCTTTTGTGAGCTTTTTTCAGGGAGGCATATAGGAGATCAAAATTCCGACAACTGGGGTGACAGACACCAGAGGCGTTTTGATGGTAGCACTGTTTCACAAAAATATTATAGCAATGCAATTACAAATACTTCTGTGCCGAACAAAAACTCAGGTGAGTTTGCACGACAGTTGAGCAAGCAAACATTTTCTCGATTACGATCTGACCTACACTGTACATTTGTACATGTACAGTGTAGTCAGCCCTTTCAAGTTTGGCTTGGGGGTCGAGTGCCTTAAGACGCCCCCGTGGTAACCAGGAATATGAGCATATAAACTGATTACCGGCTCATCTACAAAGTTTCTCACTTTTGTCCCTTTGGAGTGACGTTGGGAAATGGTATATTAACCTACATTAACCTGATCATCCACATTGCGCCAGGGCACCGTGTACATTTACGATGCCTCAGAATGACAGGAGTTGTACGTTGTAGGATTTGGAGAGACTGAAGCAGCGAATGCTCATCCTTCCAGAAAGCATATTGAAGAAGTAATGGAGGATTTAAGATTCTAATTCCCTCCATCTTCCAAACTCTGGCTGGTTTTGGAGGGCTTTGGCAGACAGAGGACACCAAGTGCAAGTACATTCAAGATATAACGGAGGGATTTTGATCAGAGGATGAGTGCATTTTTTGGGAGGTGGTGCCACCAGAGGATTTTGTAAGATTGAGGATGTGTCCTTGCAAAACGAGCCAAGGGGGTTGGTTGGGATCATTAAAGCTTGCTCATTCTGATCTGGTCGGGACCATGCTTACCGGTTTCGCAGCGACTCCCTGTGTGGTAGATACCGCACTGGCAGTGATACATCATGCTCCCGGCCGGACTACTGTCAAAACAGGTTCCGTTGTTGAGGCAGGAATCCGCTGTGCA